TTGAGAAAAATCAGCGATGATACACTGCTATTTAACGAAACGGAGTAGGATCCAAAAAAACCCAACGTATATTACACGATGTGTTAATAAATGATTGCATTTGTCGATGGCGCGCGTTAAATATATAAATATGATAAATTTATAGATACTAGAACAATACAGGCGCGCGCTACGCGCGCGCACTTATTATAGTAATTTAATAATTAAGAAATCTAAATATTTTAATAAATTTTTTTATTTTCAATAACCGTCAAAATAACCTTCGCTCTCAATCTATCAAACTATCAGAATAATCGCGATAACCAATCAGCGTCGCGGAAAAGCATCAACAATACTTCCGATACATTCGAGTATCGATCTTTTATGCCTTTTTTAAGAGTGGATCGAGTGATTCTTATGAGATGATTATGAGGTATGGGCTTATTAATTATTAAATTATTAAATATGATAATATCATTATTATAATTATTAAATATTACGTCAGAAAATGTGTAATACAAATAATTTCGATAAAGTTTATATATTTTTATTTAACATAGCATTTTGATATATAGTATGTAATACATAACGGGGCTAAACGAAATACAGATTATTAGATTTTATTCTATCATCGTGTTGCGATGTTTTTGGCACGTACCATTTCAATACCTTACAATATTAAATAACTTGAGTCTTGAATTTCTTCTTTTGATGATAATACATAATAATGCGAGATAATATCTAAAATATGACAAAAATATTACCAAAAACAATATTAAAAAAAAGAAACGTAAAGAAAACATACCTTACTACAATTATATAAAGTTGTATTTTAAAATTTATTTTTCCAGGTACTAATTTTACTGTAGTAAATCCTATAGCTGCCTCACAAAAAAAATAATTAATAAACCTCATAATCACCCGATAAGAATCCTGATTAAATAAAAGTAAGGTTGTAATAGGGCAGCTAGATCGGTTCCCGATAGGGGCATTGCGTTTGGCCCCGATCAAAAAACCCGATCGGGTCCCGATCAAAAAACCCGATCGGGCTCCGATCAAAAAACCCGATCGGGCCCCGATCAAAAAACCCGATCTGGTCCCGAGTAAAAATATTAATAAGGTCCCGATATGGTACTGATTAGGCAAGAGTGATCGGGTCCTGATGATTACACCCGATCGGGACAATACAGGCGCGTGCTACGCGTGCGCATTTATTATAGTAATTTAATAATTATGAAATCTAAATATTTTAATACAATTTTTTTAATTTTAAATAACCGTCAAAATAACCTTCGCTCTCAAAGTATCAAACTGTCAGAATAATCGCGATAACCAATCAGCATCGCGGAAAAGCGTCAACAATACTTTCGATACCATAATTTTATAGTTGGATCGACCATAATCCGTTGTGGTAGATCCAACCATAATTTTATAGTTGGATCGACCATAATCCATTGTGGTAGATCCAACCATAATTTTATAGTTGGATCGACCATAATCCATTGTGGTAAATCCAACCATAATTTTATAGTTGGATCGACCATAATCCATTGTGGTAGATCCAACCATAATTTTATAGTTGGATCGACCATAATCCGTTATAGTAGATCCAACCATAATTTTATAGTTGGATCGACCATAATCCATTGTGGTAAATCCAACCATAATTTTATAGTTGGATCGACCATAATCCATTGTGGTAGATCCAACCATAATTTTATGATTAATTAGGACGAAATGGTTTAGTAATTATTACCAAATATTTGGTAATTAGGACGAAATTATTTAGTTTCCATTACCAAATATTTGGTAATTAGAAAAAATATACAAGTAAAAAATATCTAAATAATTTTGCAAAAAAATTTATAATCAACGTCCTAATTTTTTACATATTTTTAAATTCCTTTTTTATTTGAATACAATTTGACAGCTTGAGAAAATGTAAACAATTGTCATAGAAACATTTATAAATTGCTAATCAATATTGCCTTGACAACCATTTAAATATAAACTGTCAAAATATATTTTTTGCACATGATCAATATTGCCTTGACAACCATTTAAATATAAACTGTAAAAATATATTTTTCGCATATGACATTGAGATAACCAATCAGCGTCGCGATAAAACTGCAACAATAAACTTCGATACTTTCGAGATTTCGATACATTAGACTATCGACTTCTCATGCCTTTTTTAAGAGTGGAAACGACTGCGCACTGCTCGGAGAAAGTTTTATAGATTTCTGAATTCTGAATTTCCAAAACTGAGTTTCTCTGCGAGTTATGAATTTATTATTTAATAGTTATTTAGCAACATCGCGCAACTCTCTGTGGAGGAACTCAATTTAAAACTTTGCGTTTCAGAAATATATCAAGTTCATTCCAATAAGCATACAATCTTCGCGGCACAAGAATTATACGACACGATTGAAAGTTATCGGATTTATCTCCATCAAAAAAAAGGACTCTAATATATATATATATATATATAAAAGTAAAAGTAATTTATATAAATTGTAGAAACAACTTTTCCGTCACAATATCTACCAAAGTCGAATTTAATATAGCGCATTGCTCGCGCATATTTAATGTTTACCAAACCTGAAATTGTGCATGGAATTTTATAATACTAATAGAACTATCACAACTATTGTATGTAGCACTAATAAAAGTGTTGTATTTATTACAAGAAAACGAAAGATGAGTCTTTTCGCGGAGAATTTTTGCATGTTGCTGAAGTAAGTGATATATATGGTCTCTAATATTCCGCAATAAACGAAAATGTACGGCTAAATTAAAACATATTTCAATTTCCGTAAAATATCATCAGTACATTACTGTGTTCAAAGAGGATCACAAGAACAGGAAATTATAAAGTAAGTGAATTCATCCAGTTGAGAATTTTTGTTGTTGTGTATATGCTATAATATAAAATAAAATTTTTTTATACATTAGATCATGCATTATACAATAGATGACACACGATGTATAAGGCAAGTTATTTTTTAGGGCTTTTTTGTGCTTGTTTAAAGATATCTCAGAGATATTATTATTTCTTAACAAGATATCGCGATGGACGTAATTTCTTTTAGATATATCGTCGAATAAAATTCTGAATACACTCCATCAAAAGTAGAATTTCTCTCTTCTCCTTATCGGATTTATCTACTCTGAAGAAGTATCTTTTATACATTGGGTGTACTTAAACTTTTATTCAGTGATGCAATCAAAAGTTAAGAATATCAGAGAAATAGAAGGTGAATACCTCGTAAAGAGCAGAAGAGCGATATTGATTCTACGATTGCCGAGTTGTAATTTATATCGGGAAACAGAGGCGCGAAACGCATCGCTGTTAACCGAGTTTGCTGTTTCATAGCCTATTTCCAGGGAAAACCGTGCATCGGTTAATTTAACCGCATTACGCCTTTGTTCAGTCCAACGTTCGATCTCAACTTGAGTTGTTGATTTCGATCAAACTTGTTTCCGTGCTTATCTGAGCGCAAATTGAGCTAGACCGGGTTTATATTGCTTTGGAGATATGTTTAATGCAGTGTCATCGATATCATGTTATCCGTCGCGAGTTTCCGCTATTTAGGGATTTCAAGTGGTGCAGAATTAATTGCAAATTAATTGTTGGCAGAGAATTAATTGTTCTCATTGTTAACAGCGAAGGATTTAAAACTTATGAACACAAAAATATTTTTATACATTTCTCATGTAATTACACATTAAATATTTTTATTAAAGTATTTGCTTTTTTTAGAATTTTTTCACTTCTGTCAGCAATTTTGCACATTTTGTTACTTTTAGTAAAAAATATATTGTAAAAAAATAAAAAATTTTAGTTTTCATAAATTTTAATGTAGTATATGGAAGATATTTATTCACGCGTATTCACTCATTTTCATCAATTCGACAATATCAAACAGGTCAATCGGAGAGAATGTGAAATATTGGTATTATTTGTATTTCAAAAATCTCGTTAATATCAGTGCACGCTGGAATGATTTAGGAATACTATTTACATGAATATAATTTATGAAATAGTAGAAATGTAATAATGACATATCCGCAGCTTTATCCCTAGCGATATAATTGCAGTAACTAATTACTACAAGGATGGGATATTATATTGCATTATCTGATATTTATAGAACACGATTAACTCTAATTATTTCTATAGAATGCAGATAACAAAGCCTGTTGGAAATATCTCGCATAAATAAGATATATAAATAATTGATTAATTATAGTTAATTAGAATTATTAATCATAATTGAAATTATTTTTGTGATAATTTCACTGTGTGTATTACGGGCATTTAAAGCAAAGCCTGATTTCAAAATATCAATTTAATTAGCATGGAAATGATCACTAAACCGATAAAATACTTTATCGATGATGCTTTAAATGCATCCAATATCCAATAAAAGTTTGTTTTTAGAAATAATTATAAAATAATTTTTTTATTGAATCTTGAATATATTTGCAGAACCATTGAAAACTTATCTCATCCATTTCAACGCCGATATTTGTCTTTCTTGGCGTAGAGCCGAGTCCGTTCGGCGTCTGTTTTCGCCTAAATTGCGCGTATTTTTGGCGAACGTTTGCTGAAGAAAACACGCGAGACGCGAATCAACGTACGACGACGGTTTGATTCGCATTGAGTTAACTTCTTCCATCCGTGAAGATACGTCTATGGTACTGCAACTTGATAATAAATTACCTTTATTGCGACCTTTCGAATCGTGTCAAAATGACGCCGGACTGTAATCGCTTCAAGTCTGCAGTTTGCTTCAGCTGAAGACTTTTCCAATTTATTGATTTATGAAACATTTATGCACCTCAGAAAATGCAAATGCAGTCTTATTGCTAATAAAATCGTACGTGAATATATTTTTCGATAGAGAGCTTTTGATACTAACATCACGCGTGTTTGATGAGTGTTTCGAATAGACGAAATGGATGAATTGGGAAATGGACAAGTGTTGTGCGAAAAAATGAATAACTTGTTTTGGTTTTACATAGTAAAGGTTAAATTTATACATTCAATTACAGTATCATATAAATAATAACTGCGCGAGAAAATAATAAGACGATATTACGATAACTTTTACGCGTGTAGTAAAAAATGTTCTCTACATTAACTTCTGCGGTACTTAACTTTACTATTTACAATGCATCTAATTCAAGGACACTTGTTTCGGCATATCGCTACACGACTCTCATGCTAAATCTTCATCAATCAACACTTCTCGAAATAAGAAAAACCAATGAAACTCGACAGATTGGTCACAAACGCGAATGTAATCGATATATTCCGATGCGGTTCCGATGCGCCAGTTAATATTTTACATCAATGATACTGATACCTACGCACAAGACAGGTGTCCGAGTAAACATTCATAACTTTCTATGAGTCACAAAGTCGACTCGTTTTAACGCTCGAATTCTCATACGATAAATTGAGCCGTTTGGCAGTATAATCATATATGTCATATTAATTTTTATTTTAAGAAAAATTGCAATCGCAAAAGTATTTAACATAAAATTTCATGCTGATTTACGCATAGAAATTGGTGTATGTAAAAATCTTATTCTTGTTTCTTTTTTTTTGTAATTTTTTCTTGCTATTACTCTGCCTAACGACTTATTATAAACAAGTAATGCCTATTGTAATACCTATTTTAGTAAATATGCACACAAATAACATCTGCAAAAGTACTTTTTCATTATCACGGAAAACTTTATGTCACAGGAAAGTATAAAGTACCGTATCACTGGTCCGAGATAAAATATAACAGTGTGCAGAATATCGGTATCTTAAATTACCTAACACAAGTCGTACAACACGAGGCATTACCAAAGAACCTCGACAAATCAAGAGAAAAACTATGTCGCTAATTAACTTGTTTCGAATCACGCATACGCAAAGTACATCATACAATACAAATTTTATTCATACTTCATCGTACTTAAGGCACAAAGCATATTTACCATAAAAGATGGCAGAATATAATCAGCAATATAAAATTGCATTAAAACCGTAAGCTTTTATAAACAATGACTGAAACCATTTTCATTTTCTGTCTTCTCTACAGTCTTTTGTAATTGTCGTTGTATCTTTTTTTAATCAATTAATACAATGGTCCAAAAATATATTTATCAATATTATATTGATATTGTAATGCAGGATTTTTTTCCATAACATATATGTAAATGATACAAAGAAATCAATTATAGTTCGGAAGATTATAAAAATGATAAAGCTTGATCATCAGCTTCCTTTAATTAATTTGCAATACCACTGTTATTTTATACAAGTAAAATAAAAAAAATCGCGGAAAGAAAATAATTTTGTACCTACAATTTTCTGTTAAGCAAACAATTATTTTGCAGTTAAATAAAATATTTAATCTTTTTTTCACTTTGTGCCTGATGTAAAAGTAAATAAATTTTAATCGATTAATTCGCAAAACGGACTGTTAAGAAAATGCTGATGTAAAGTCGAAATGTATGATCAAGGCAAACTAAAGCGTTTAACATTATTCGACTTTACCGTACAATATAATACAACGAATACGTGTTGATAAACCCGTAAACAATCTCACGCTCTATATAGCTTGTAATAATTTCACAAATAGAATTATAATGGCAAGATGTTATCGTACCAGGTAAGCGCAAGTTTCGGGGATTGTTAATAATTAATGTTGTATAAAATCGGTTTCTAGCGAAACGATACACAACTATAAAATATTCGTTTAGTGAAGTGATGTAAAAACTTTAAGGATTACTACAGTACAGTATACATCCGGCAATCCTCGAATTAATATTTATCACATATTGAATTTTTCTTATCAAAAAGGAACTTAATCAATATCGTGATGACCTTGGCTATGATACATCTACTGTATGCTACATTATCCTCCATAAATAAGTAATAATATTATTCGCAATATGTTTCTTCATTCAATTGCTTAATTAGCTGGATTAATGGATAGTCGATAACATTTTCAAGATTAGCATGTGCGATCGGATAAATCTCACAAGCCAAGCGTTTAAGCATATACATTTGTGTTATTTACATGGCTATATTGGCACATGGTATATATTCGACCATTCGTGTTCGGTAATGCTTTCATCTCCATATTTAAATGTTTTGCACATACACCAGACTTGTTCTCCAAAATTTGATTTTGCTTGAAAATCTGGATTATAACATTTGTAAGCTTCGTAAAGTCTGCACTATTGTAGTATTTATTTGCGTTGATAACAAAAATGTTCGAAGTGAAATAGAGCCGTAGATTAATTGTTTTATAACTCAGGCTTCCTCTGTATAACTCCCGCTGAACAAATTCTAATGGATAGAAAAACAGAAGTGAAAAAAAAAAAACTAATTGTAAGTGAAATATTGAAATTGCACAAAATTCTGGTATCAAAGATAAGAATTATTAATTGAACGACGGGTATCATTTTATTTCATGCTGTTAGCTTAGCTAACAGTTAGGTAGGTAGGTAGCTTAGATGTTAGCATACTTGTCTAATTCATTCTCATGCGGACAAGTGTTTTTACTTTTGGTATCAAGATCGTATGAATGTAACGAAATATGTTAATTAGTGAAACTTTAAATAATGATCTATATATATATATATATATAAGTAAATTTATTTGTTATAACTAAAAAA